TTTGGATTTTGTCATTGAGGAGGCTGAACAACAGATGTTGCCGTCTTACGCTAGACTTCCTCTCTTGTCATCTCTTCCAGACATTCAGAGGCTAAAAGTGAGTCACATCAAATTTTCTTTAGGAGAGCCTACTGGTTGATAAATTAACAATAATGAAAAACAACATTAAAGTTCACAATTGTCTTGCACTTTATGATCTTCCTGGTGTCTTTTCTTTTTTAACTAAAAAATTTGTGTTACAATACACACAATCCAAAATATACCATCTTAGTCATGTTCAGGGTACAATTCTGTAGTATTGAGTACATTCACACTGTTGTGCAACCCTGACCACCACCCATCTCCAGAACTCTCTTCATCTTGCAAAACTGAAACTCTGTACCCATTAAACAGTAATTTACCAAGTGTTTCTTTCCACATTATTTCAGATGCTCCTCTTCATAGTCCTGAAGGTAGGAGGGAAGGTATCATTAAACTCAACAGAGCACAGGGGCTAAAGGGGAAGGATCTGGAGTAGGGCTATCTGGTTTAAACCTCAGCCATCAAGTATTAACTATTAATAGCAGGGCCCGCTATACTGTACCAGGTTGTGAAGATCGCATAAGGTTATTCACAACATGTTTAGCTATAGTCATCTCCATTTTGCAGATAAGAAAACTAAGACTCTGATACTTAGAACAATATGCCAAAACCTACAGAAATAATAAATGGCCAGTGAGAATCTGAATTCTGGTTGATTTAGGGTTCTCTTCTTTGTACTAGTCAATAATTGATCAAGTCCCAGCTCAGTGTCAACTCAGCGTGTAATAATCCTGCTTTTAAGCTAGTGAAGGGAAATGATTTCATTTAAACCTATTTTGTGTTTTGACCTCAGAGACAAGTCCTCGCGGTTCCCCATGAGCCCTGGTATTTCACTGGAGGTGCTGCCAGCATTGACCTCAAGGTGTTCTGTGAACCAGAAGAGCATTGGCTGGGGCTGGGGAAGTTAGAGGAAGGTGGATGAAGGGCAAGCAGGAGTGAAGTACAGTTAGTTCAGTTCCAAGCTGACATTGGACACCCACAAGGAGCCTCCTTTGCGGGGATTGGCACAGGGAATGATTTTAAACGGCAGATCAGTAATGGTGAAGGAACCAGGCAAAACGGTTATGGTAGAAAACTTGTTTCAAAATCAGGTGAGATTTTGGGTTCAATCCCTGGTACCACAAAAACAAAACAAAAACACCCCCGCTGTTGCAAAAGCTTCATTTTTCTACAATCCCAAAGTCCATAGCCATTTTCTCTTATTTGATTATAATGACTGGGTCAACTTCACTGCTCTATCCTCATAACCCAGCAGCATATGCCTGGCACAAAGTGGGTACACAATAAATTCATATTGAATTGGATCGATCTCTCTGTGGCATCAGAGACTTTATCATGGAAGAGCAGTAGATTATGCCACCCCAAATATGCCACTTTGACATAGGATCATTTTGAGCTGAGGAAAATTGAGAATCAACAGATACTGAAAGAAGTCTTTCCAGAGCTCCCCTTATCTAAGCAAAAGAAGAAATTTCTGAGAGTAAGGACTGCCATAAATCCTCTGTTTTGGACAAGTTTTAGGACTTACAGGACAGGAAGTTGGTACTGAGATGAATCTGCCCAAACAACCTTGCTAAGGTAGCTCTTGTTTTCTATTAACTTCCCCTGTGTGTTTAACTCCTCATGGTCTGCAGCTCTTAGAAGCCTAGAACTGTTTTTCCCTGTCTTGTCAAATCTCCCCAATTTATCATTTCTTGTTAAAAATGGTATAGAAACTATCAGGCCTATTTGCTTCTTTGGTCTTCACTTCTTTTGCAGGGAGACAATGGTGTCTTATAAAAGCCACACATCAAATATAATTCATATGCCTTTCTTCTGTTAACCGGTATTTTGTCAGTTTTATCTATAGGATTCCAGGCATGCAGCCTAAGTGGGTAGAGTTAATTTTCCCCCTCCCTTACAACATCTTCTCCTTTCTATTCTTTCTCAGGCTTCCTCAGCTTGTTCCCTAAAGATCAGTAGGCTTGGGCTGGGGATGTGGCTCAAGCGGTAGCGCGCTTGCCTGGTATGCGTGCGGCCCGGGTTCGATCCTCAGCACCACATACAAACAAAGATGTTGTGTCCGCCGATAACTAAAAAATAAAAATATTAAAAATTCTCTCTCTCACTCTCTCTTTAAAAAAAAAAAAAGATCAGTAGGCTCTCAGTAGGGTCTTTGACATCTGCTTTTTCCTCTCTATAGACTTTCTCTGAGACTATAACTTTCGAATTGGGAACCCAGGCCCTAAAGCCCAAGTGCTTACTAGAAATTATCGATTGAGGGCCTGCATGTACCTCATACTCAACATATTCTGAGCCTCTCCATCTTCTCCCTCAACCTATATCTCTTGTGTGCACTAGCTCAGTGCATGACACCTGTCATATACCCTATTGTCCAAGCTGGAAACCTGCAGATGTAATTCCTTCCTCCTTCTTCCTTATCTCTCATGTGCAATAAGTCACAGAATCTTGTCAATTCTGTGCCCTCAGTGGTTCTCAGATCTATCTCTTTTTCTCTAACACCACTACCATCACTCAAGTTCAGGCCACTGGCATCTGTCTGTCTCCTCCCTTACTGCTGTGGCCTCCTCACTGTTTCTCTTTGGCCTCTGGCCTTCCTCAGCCTCTGCCTCTTCTCCATCCTCCTTGGCAAAGATAATTCCCACTCATGTTTGAGTTCCATGCAACGTCACTTCACTTGGGAAGCTTCCCTGACTAAACCCTCCCCACCTTTAAGCCCCAGAATATGTTCAGTGCTTCTGTTAAATGTGTTCCAAGCACTTAATTCGTCTTATTATAATTGCTTATTTCATTGCTTAATTGCCCCACTCACCCACTGGATTGTAGATACTCTATTTTGCACTGCACCTATTTCTAGCCCCTAGCACACAGTATGGCACATGTAGCCCATAGATATTAAAAAAATATTTGTTGAATGAATCAGTGAAAAGACTCTCTAAAAGAACCACCATTCTTCTCCAAAGAAAGACCATTTTGTAATTTAGCTAAAAATAAACAAGATCGGTGGTTTAGCAAATAAATCTATGGTGTGTGTGTAAACCTCCCACTTGAAGTTCATGTGGTTGATGAACCTCAACCATGTAAGTGAAACCTTATTTTCCAAGCAAAAATATGCAGTGTGAATGGCAGTGTCATAACTTTTGAGTTCTCATGGCAACAAGCAGCTGCAACAAACAAAATTAGGAAAAACAAAGGTAACAAAACCCCATTTGTCCATCCAGATCTTTTCTGTTTAACTCTGCAGTCTTAATAGTTCAATAATTCAGCTGCAAATTTGTTAAGATTCATTGCTTTCCAAGTCCATCACATGCTCAGGCTTATTTGCTTGTCTCTTTCTGCTGGGAAACGATTTGTGGAGTGGCCCAGAAAACAACTCTTTTCCATGTTAATTACTCAAAGATTAAGAAAGGTAAAGTAAGAGTTATGTAACCGAGGCCTTGTTTTGCTCCTGGGATTACTCAGTAGTGAACATGCATACTTATCATTGAGAATGCTTACAATGATGTTATTTTATCAACCATGTATTTTCTTCTACCATTTCTATGAATAAGGTGTTAATTGCAGTCTTCCTTTTTTCATCAATTAAGTAGCTTTATTTGAACCCTCTTGTATCTGTACTAAAATGTATAAAGCACTGTTCAAATTGCCAAAGCAGTTAGATGTGTCCTAGGTCCTCGATTTCTTTGAGAGAAATGTGACCCAAACCTTTATGAAATACATAGGATAGGATGTAAGAAGCAATTGTCAGCAAAACTTGGCAAGCCAGGATTCCTTCCCACTCATTATCAACCAATGGGTTCAGACTTAATATACTTACTCAGCTTGATTTTGAACTCGAATACTGTAGTTCTGAGGGTGAGTTTTTTACAAACTGAAAAGCTGGGGACAGTTGCTTTCTTTGAGAGTTGCAGTCCCTAGAACTATGATTATATAAATATTTTTATAGTATTACAGTATTACATCACATAAATCTATTTTAAGGGAATAATTTCATTCCTTTTCTCTCCCTCTTTCCTTCCTTTTATTAAAAGTTAATATTTTCCTTTTTCAAAATCAAAGTAATGAGCATACAGCTTAGAAAGTCAATTAGTGCTAAGAGGCTTTTAGCAAAAACCAACATTCTCTTTTTTCTTCCACCCCAATTGCCTCCCATTTTTCTGGAAGTCATGTCTCCCTCAGATAACCATTTTTAAAATTTTCAGATGTTTAAGCTGATGTTAGCTGGGCATGGTGATGCCTGCCTGTAACCCCAGCAACTGCAGAAGTTGGGGTAACTTAGTAAGACCTTATCTCAAAGCAAAAAAATAAAAAGGGCTGAGGTGTGGCTCAGTACTGGTGATTGAACCCACAGTGCCCCTGGATTCAATTCCCAGTACTTAAAAAAAAAAAAAAAAAGAAAAGCTTATAAGATATTTACTTCTAATATCAAAGTACTATGCATATACTGCTATTGCTTTATTCATTATTTTAAAACATTACTTATTTTGGCCCTGTTATGGCTCATTTCCTCACTTCATTTCTTTTAAATGATACTAGCACAATTTTTGTTTAAATCAGTATTCAATGATTTGTTATAATTAGTATGTATGCATGTAGTTTGTGTGGATATTTTATATAACTTATACAATGTATATATGATTATATGTACTATATATTAAAGTACACTGTATATGTGTACATACAGTGTAAATTATACTATATACTATTTAGTCATACAGGTTTAAAGTTTATGCTATATATAGATTATAATATACATAATATATAGTATATGCTATTCATACTAGATAGTTTAAATGTACTGAAACAGTATGTATATATGATATATATAGTTTATGTTATAATTTCATTTCTTACACAATTTCTAAGTTTTCTTGGAGTTAATAATCACCTTTTTATTGTTTAGTGTTGACATTTTTAAAATTACAAACTTCTCTTTGAAGTGGCTCTCATTATAAATTTTCACAATACAATCTGTAAGATAATCTTCAAGTTCCGTTTTATATTTTTCCTGGGTGAAGCAACTCTGTTGTTTTGAGCTCCCTTCAATTAAGTTTTGTTTGGCTTTGGGACCTGCTACGGTTCTGTTTACCTTGTTACCGTCTGGTGAATTTTTTCTGAAGGAGTTTTCTCTCTGAGAATCTTACTCTTTCTTGGGTTTATCCAACATTTTAGTAGAGCTCCTTCCTCAGTGACTTCTGGAGAAAAAGCATCTTACAAATCTGCCTGAGACTTTATATATCTGAAAATGACTTCATTTTACTCTCCTATTTTTTGATGTTACTATTACTTTTCTTCAGAAGTTGTCTTGGTCTCTTTTTGAAAGAACTTTTCTTGCCAGCCACGGTGGTGAATCCTGTAATCCCAGCGACTTGGGAGGCTCAGGTAGGAGGATCACAAGTTCAAAGCCTGTGCTCAGCAACTTAGTGAGGTCCTAAGCAATGTAGCGAGACCCTGTCTCAAAGTAATAAATAAAAGGGCTGGGATGTGGCTTAGTGGTTGGGTGCCCTGCATTCAATCCCTGGCATTCTGCAGCTATTCACTCATTTTTGAATGTGAGGCCCAGTGCTCTGGTTTTGCTTAGATTGGGGAGGAGGTGATGAGGCTGTGGAGGTGTTGGAGAAGCATTAGGAAAGGCTGTTTTCATGTAGCTAGTGACTGGGCTTTTCAAGTCTGTTTCCAGTTTTGTTTATTTGCATCTCTGATATTTGAAAATTTCCATTCGAATATTTCATTAAGTTTGAGTTTTGTTTCTATCCTAAATTTCTTAAAAAGACAGTAAACCAATCTGAAAAAAATGTTTAATTTTTAAATATGATTGATATTGCTCATTTTTATGATTGTTGCTCTGTCCTTCAAAAGTTATCCTATTTGTCTGGTAGTTATAACTTCCATCTCAATGTTTTATTGCAGTTTTGTCAGTATCGCTTGTATGCGTGCTCTTTTATGTGGTTTTATTTATTTGTTTATTGTGGTGCTTGGAATTGAACTCAGGGTCATGTGCATGCTCTGCAAGCCTTCTGCCGTTGAGCCACATTCCCAGCATTGCTGTGTGGTTTTATATACACACATTCAGTATTACTAATTTGTTGTTAATCTACATTATCCAATAGATATTCATTTTTAATAATAATGTGAGATGAAAAATCACCCTTATTGGCTACCAGGACAAATAGCCTGTGTTACTCTTATAGTCATACAGAGGTGGTAGACCTTGGCTGTTGTCATTCTTTTTATTTATATTTTTCTGTAAACTAAATTCTTTCCTTTCTTCCTCCCTCCCCCTTTCTTTCTTTCTTCTAATTAAAATTGGTTTAATGGATCAATTTTAAGGAGAGGAAAAACATATGTGTCACATAAATTTATATATTTTAGGAAATGTAAGTAGTTATATAAATGTATCATGTTTATGTACTATGTATATATACATGGATATACATAAATAGAAACATAAATGTAAGTACATCAAGATGTATGTAATACATAAACATATGTTCTATTTTTTACATATGATAAACTGCAAGATATTATTTTTGGTGAGTTTTGATAAATTTATATACCTGTGTAACCAGCTCCTTGATTAATAAACAGATTATTTCTATGACTTTGGAAGTAGCCTTCAGTTTAAAACCTTTTAAAAACAAAGTTGGAAATTAATTTTAAGCAAGTATATCTAGGTTAATTGGTCTTCTTTTTCCAAAAGTTTTAACAGAGATACATTGAACTTAAAAAAAATAATTAATTCTACAGTTAAGTAAAGTTTTAAATACTTTACAGAAGAGTTAAGACATTAGGTTTTGTTTAGTCATATTTTTTTCTCTTTATATCTAGAGTTTCTATAAAAGATTACCAAATTTATTAGTGGACTTTATGTTGACAATATTCTATTCTTACTGTATCCACTTACTCTCAGGTCTCTTACTTGCACCCTTTAATTTTTTTTAATGTTTTTTAGTTGGAAAAGGATCTTTTATTCAATTGACTTATTTATATGCGGTGCTGAGAATCGAACCAAGGCCTCACATATGCCAGGCAAATGCTGTACCACTGAGCTACAACTCCAGCCCCTGCACCCTTTAATTTTTGTTTTATATTGTCATTGTTGGTGTGGGTCTTTGTTGACACTTTGATTTAGGTCTGTGATGATTTGGCATATTTTTCTTCTTGACTTCAAAGAGAAAAGTTAACTTGGGTAGGTACTGCAGGTGGAGTTAGAATTCCATTTTCTTCCAAGTTCAAGAGAGGCATTTTTTTTCTTACTGTGTGTACTTTATCTGATATAATTATCTTCACTGTCCTTTGAGGTAGGATTACTGTACTCGTTCTTCGGAGGAGTTAACAGAATCAAGGTCACAATATCTAAGACCAGTGAAGCTGGAATTTAACTTAGATTTTTTAACTCTTCCTTTCCTCCTGACTGCATTATGTCTATTGAGCATTGTCTGGTCTTTTCCACAGAGCAATTCTTATTTCCAAATGAGATGTTCAAACACATTCATACCATCACATTTTGAAAGGTCTTCTTAAAGCCTCTTCCAACATGAAGGTACATTTTATTATCATTTAAATAAAACAGTTTCTGAGTGTCCAGGATGCTATATGTGGGGAATACAGAGCCCTAACCTAGTCTTCACATTCAAGTACAAACATCAAAATATCAATGACTTTCCACATTAGTACCGACTCCTTGGAAATTTATAAATCTTATCCTTTATATATTAAAAATTTGACAAACACAATTTTGGGAGATGACGAGAAGCGTTATTGTTCTTTGCAAAATGTTTCTGACTTGTAAAAATCTAGACCAATGTGGTTTCTTTTTTCAATTAAAAAATTAAGAAAAATGTTTTTTTCAAATAGCCACTGATGCTGGCTTTTCCTATGTTCTTTAGTATATCATTTTCCTTGCAGTTTAGATCTAATGGTTTGTTTTTCAGGTATGTTTGTTTCTGAGCATTGTTTTAATGGTTTGTCTAAGTTGTGCATTGTCTTGTTCATCTTGTTAGTGACATTTCTGGTTTCTTTGCTTGGTCCTTACAAACCTGGTGTCCTTCATGTTTTTAAGAAAATTTTTTTCTAGTTGGGTCCATGGTGCTTGACTGGGATGATTTTGCCACACCAACCCCAAACCCCAGGGCATATTGCAGTGGCTGTAGACATTTTTTGGGGGATGGTGCTCCAGGTATTGAACTCAACTGCACTAGACCACTAAGCCACATCCCCAGATGTATTTTGTATTTTATTTAGAGACAGGGTCTCACTGAGTTGCTTAGCACCTCGCCATTGCTGAGGCTGGCTTTGAACTCGTGATCCAACTGTCTCAGCCTCCCGAGTCTCTGGGATTACAGGCATGCACTACTGCACCCTGGCTTGTAGACATTTTTTATTATCACAACTAGTGGTAGTAGGGGTGGGGGTGGGAGGAAGCTGCTATTGGCATCTAGTGATTATAGGTCTGAGATGCTTCTGTATCCCGCAGTACAACACAGGACAGCTCCCCTCACCCCTTTCCCTGTTGCAAAACAAGGAATTACCTGGTCCAGAATTTCAGTGTTAAGATTGAGGAATTCTAGTTTAGGTGATTTACAAAGTTTAAGGAAGTCAGCTTCTTACGGTGAATAATATTTCTAGCTTTATGCATGTTATGCAGATTCCTATCAGAAATTCATTTTGGGGGCTTCTTTTTTGCTTCCCCAGAGGCTTTCCAAAATTATACCTGACCTTTTTTTTTTGATAGAAAACAAAATACAGTAGCCCCCTTTTATAGTGGTAGATGTTTACTTTGGCACTTAAAACAAGGCTCTTACTTGAAGCTCTTTCAAATAGTTCATTATTTGTAAATCTTAACTATCACTTTTTCTTTTCTCTGTTTACTCAAGGGACTTCATAAATCAGTCATGAAGGTAATTGCATTTACAAAGTTAGCTCAATAGGTCTTCATTTAAACTTAGATTTTTTTAAAAGTGTTATCTCGTGAAAAATATATTCTTAGCAGTCTTTAAAAGACTGGATCATTTTAAAGGGGTTTTCAGCATGAACGCATCACAACATATGCTCAGACACTGATTTAGCACGTGTGCTGGAAGCTCTCAAGTTGAGAAACTGAACAACTAGATCAATTTTTCATGCCCTCTGGTAAACTTCAAGTACTAATAAACACTATAGTATGAAAACTCAAGGATATTTTGGATCTGGGGCTTAGTTTGCAGTCTTGGTGAAAGCAAGTTTGTTTGATTTTATTTTTGCTTCTTATGCCTAGCATTTGAACCAAGATACAAGAGAAAGTAGGACAGTTTATGTTTGCTCTGAAGTTTTAAAAAGAGAAAAGGGAGGATTTGTGTTCACTCTGGATTTGCTGATTAGTGTATCTTCCACCTCAACCAGGCAGATGGCTTCCAGACTTCCTGAAAAGAAGTTGCTGAAAAAAAGAGTTGCTGAAACCTCCTCATGGGTTTCCTGTGCACATGGCCTTTGGAAGATGGGAACAGATTATATTATCATTTAAGTCAAATATTTATTGACTACATATTGTGCTGGGTGTCGGGAATACAGAGCACTTGAAGAAGTAGTTTTTGCATTTAAGGGATGCATACATTAAAATATAAACAGTTTTCCAAATTCATACCTGCTAACTGCAAGGAGGATGGTAATAGCAGTATTGCTACTGCAGTTTACTTTTCCTTCTGCAGCCAATCCTGCTTCCAACCAGCTGTGGGGTAAAGTGTACTCCCAGTGATTGGCTTCCTAAGGTCCTCTTGCTTCTCACATGCAGAGCCCAGGTACCCTGGCTCTGGGATGTTCACAAAGATACTTTGTTGTTGTTTTGTGTGTGGCTGGGCCTCCTTGGCTCAATGGCTGACTCCGACCTCTTTTCTAGGTTACTGATCTCAGTGACCTGTCTTTCTCTCACGCAGCCCAGTCTTGATTTTTGTTTCTTAGATTTTATTTCTGGAGCCCCTCTGCTGGGCCTTGCAGCACTGAGCAGCTAACACTTCCTGCCTTTTTCTTTCTTCTACCCTGCTCACTTTTTCTCCAGGAAAGATGCCAGACTTTGTGGAGGAGGTGGGACTCCATTTTAATGAGAGGCAAATTTTTAAAAAAATAAAATTTTCAAATTTTTTCAAATTTCAATGTATGTTCCTTCTCCTCATACCAAAAGCCCTTGTGTCAAAAAGGATTTTAAAAGGGTTAACATGAGAGTGGCATGCATTGGAATGAAGGCAGAGAAATTTCATGACATAACAGCCCAGTATCAGGGGATAAAGATCTCAGTTGGCAATAGGGAAAAAGGAGAGCAGCACTAGAAATGGTTTAGAAAGAATTAGCCAGACTGGGCAGAGAGGAACAGAACAAAACAAAACAACAATTTTTGGAATTGTTAGAAATGCTGTAAAAATAAAAGTGCTATCAGGGGGAAATATGAGAGACCTCTGAGTCATCACCATCCTATTGTCCCAATGTGCCTAGGACTAAGAAGTTTTCTGGAATGTGGGAGTTTTGGTTTTCAAATCAGAAAACTAGGATGAGCTGTCCAACCAGTGCCAGTACCCTGGGGGCTCTTTGACATCCTCCAAGTCAGTTTGATTGGGATTATTTAGGCTGACATTGAGATTTTAGTTAAAGGGGTTGAAGTAAGAGTGGCAGGTGCCTGATTGAGAGTTGCCAACCTTCCTGCTCCCATTTTAATGAGAGGGAAATAAAAAAATTCAAATAATTTTAAATTTTAATGTACTTTCATTTTCCTCCTACCAAACAAAAGCAGCAACAACAACAAAAATCCAGAATTCAATTTGTTATAGATTAAAATGTTTTGGTCTCTCCTCAATAATTTGTTTCCTTTTGGTAGATGGTTTAATGTTTACTGAAATGGTTCATGGCAGGAATTAGAGGGACAAAGAGAAGACAAGAACACAAAAGAAAGAAGAAATCTGAGAGTGAACAGATTGATTACTGACCACTGAACTTGACCAAGTCTCTGGTAATCTCTCTTAAGAGCTGGAATTCAGCCCTAAGAAGACCTCTGTGTAACCAGAATAGATTCTGCACATTCAGGTACTGATGCTTATATATTTAGATCCCAAAGCAATATTCCCTATTGATACTATCCAAAGCAGATTTATTTTTAATGTAGATGTTACATCATACTTATTTATATGGGTTTCCAATCATTTGTACAGTGGAGGCAATGAACCCAAAGTTTGCTTTGACATATGAACATCAGTGCAAATTGATCATTGATAAGTTGATAGTATGGAAGGAGACAAAAATTAAAAATATAAAAATTTGCCAAAGTAAAAAAGAAAATCCAGTGGCTTGGGGCTATTTTATATGAGAGTGAATCAGAGAATGATTTTGTTATTTTTTTTGTATCCCCACATAATACTTGATAGTTTAAAGATGACTCCAAACCATCAAGAAAAAGTCAAATACATCGAATATATCTTATTTGAGACCTAAGGGAACTATTTAACATATGAGAAAGGATTTTCATCAAGTTCTTACATTAACAAGTCTTCAGTTATTGGAAAAATTGACTTCTGTTGAATACTTTATTCCGCAAACTATCAATAAAGAAAATACTGTGTGTTTAAAACAAAACAAAATGGAGGAACCTAAGTGAATTTAGGAATCTACTGAGAGTACTAGGGACTCTGCTTTTCTGAGAAAATTGACTTGCAACCTCGGCATTCAGCTGGGGCTGCACAATGGACGCCAACTTCAGTACAAAGCAGGATCTCGCAGACATTCTGTTGCCCTGACTGCCGGCAGAGAGCCATCACAAGCTTCGGTGCAGCCCCAAGGGGCGCATATATTAAAGAAAAAACAAGAGCCATGCTCCAAAATGGCTTATTTAAAATGCAAAGGGTAACAAGAGAGCTACATTTGGGGAAAGCCCAGCTCTCAGAAAAAGGAAAGTAATACCAAATCTTGGTTAAAGTTGCTTGCTCTTGAACTAATTAGCTGGGGATTGAATTCAGCATGAGAAGTCAGAATGTGGGTTAAGAGTGAAGGAAAGTGTTATTTTTCCTCTTAGGTACCAGCCTGGCATGTCAGAATGTAGTAGCAGGCAGCACATGAAACTCAGCCAATTCGACGAAGTCACAAATTTATAAAAAACACCATGACTGATTGAAAAGGGGTTGCGGAGATATAATTTGGGCCAGATGTGTGATAAAAGGCAGTTTTATCTACTTTGGTGGTAGCCTTTTTTTTTGTAATAATATATTGGCACATTTGTCATTAAAGAAAAATAAAGAGGAATGAATAATACAGGATCCAGTAGAACAGTAAATAATATGTTCCCCCTCTTTTGAAATCCTATTCCTACCTAGCATTGATATGCTATTGTTTTCTTTCAAATCTCTTTTCTTGTTTTTCTAAGATGGGAGGTTTGTGGGAAAATTATACATAAAAGAAGGAAGCCAAGATCGTTTGCTGTTATTTTACTTGTGAACCATTTAGAAAAGGATAGAACTTATAATAAAGTCATATTTCCTGTGGATGGCATCCCTCAAAGGATATGAGTCCTTGACAGAACATGTCTGTGTGGAACAAGATTTGACTTCTCAACAGGCCTGTGCTAGATTCAAAATGTTCATGCTTAATTAGCTGTGTAAACAAATTTGGAATTTAGAGAATTTTTTTATGTCAAGGGGAAGTGAAGGTTTATTACCTCTCTTTCCTCAAATCCAATGCACCTACACTTCCTGGATTGGATGCTATTCCCATGGTATTCCCTGACTCCTGTACTGTGCATTCCATGGGAATTCTGCAGCTGGCTTCCGGATTGAGAAGCAGGAGTAGACCATTTCAGAGACAGAGTGACACTGCCCAAGAAATACAGGGCACATTTCAGCCGAAGGCACCCAGCTCTTCTGGTGTTGCCCTGCCAAAGCTCAACAGTTATGTAAGCTTCCTGTGCCCAAGTTCTCTGCCAAACTTGGGGATTCTGCAAATTTCTCGTTAGTCCACAGCAGAATGAAAGGTGTGGCAGGTAGAGATGGTGCCAAATCAAGGGTTAGGAGAGAATTTGACTAATTGGGTGTGGGCATCCATCAGCAGAGAGCACTCACCTCAGAATGGATCAGGAATCCTCAGAGAAGCCAGGCAGGCACATCGCGGGTCACCCTCAGGCGGCTTTATCTTCTCTGACTGACACTTAAATGGCAGAGCTCATTTGATGCTGTTCCAGGCTCACTGCTGGGTGTTTCTAATCATGTGTTTTAATTAATGTTTTTATTGTACTTGGGCCCAGAGGCTGTTTCAACAGACCAGCATATATTTAGAAGTCTCTGAATAAATAAATGTAAAACAAAGGAAAACTGACTCTGTTGGAATTAGGAGGATTGTTTCTAAAAAGATAGGCTGAGGCTTCAGACTTGACTGCTTCAAACTAACTCAGCAATATCAGGGCCTGTCTCCCAAACACACTGGGTGTAGAAAAGCTTGACTTCAGGATCTTATCTAGAGTTTAACTTTCTCGAAAACTATGCTCTGGGTCTTGAGGCAGTTGGGGACACTAGAATTTATTGTGTTGATTTTGACTTAAAATAAATTTAAAAAACAAATAGTAGGAATACAGGGATGGCAGTAGTAGCAAATTTCTGAAGCAACATTTATTTAAAGCCAGGTAGATCTCTTTCTATTGCTAGTTAAAAGGGATAATTGAATGGGTTAGTTTCTTTGCCACCCCCCCCCCACCATTGTTTTCTTGAATTTGAACCTTCTCCTTTTTAAAAGGAGCTTATATCTCTTCCCCCATTCGAGGCAGTAGCACTTTTAGAGAATGGATATAATTCTGTTTAGCAAATATTTACTGAGCACCTCTTCATTCAAGGCAGGAGCTTGACTATGGGAAAAAGAGTGTTTACAGGTTGTAGGAAGTATATTTATAAGGTACAGATTGCTTTTGGAATATGTGCTGTGTTCCCTGTGGATGAAAGCATACTCTGTGTCTTCTTATCAGGATCTATTATTAGTTAAATTCTCTGGTTGTGATTTCCTTTGGGTCCTTGAGAGTTTGTGAAAGTTACTAAGAGCTGTAAAGACTGGAGTGTCAGCAAATTGCCTGGCACTAGTAAGGAGAGCTGATCCTGGGCAGGACAGTAAAATTCTGAAATTGGGTTTTCTGCTATCATTTTTTTGTTTGTCTCTGGTGACACTCATTTTTTCCCTTTTCTCCATTTCCTTCAAGGTGCCCTAATGTATCTGTTCTGGATTCTGCCTGTATAGAGCATAAACAACACTGATGATAGGTCTCACGCCGAAACCAATGAAAAGTGTTCAGTGATTCTGTACTGCAGCTGAGGTTGAGGTTGGGCTGCTTTCTGAGCACCCCCAGTGCTCCTCCACCACGTGCAATTGGGCAACCTTGTTCTCAGGAGAGTACCTGCTTCAGTTACCCTAAATCCTTGATAAGATGTCACCAGTTCCAAGATGTTCTACAGATTTAATAACAGACTTTTTTACTAAAATAAATAAATAAATAGAAAGAAAGAAAAAAAAATACCACACTAGATAAACCTTATTTTTGGACCATGGCATGGTTTCAGAAATATCAAAATGTGAAAATCATGTACATTTGAGAATAAGACCATATTACATGAAAATAAAATTAACCTATACCTATACTATTGTGAGGGCAATTTGCATTGTAAAAGAGGATAATTTTGAAACCCAAATATTGCATTTTATTGAAAAGTTTTCAAACCAAGTGCTCTGCTAGGCAAGGGTTTCTTAATCTGGGCACTCAGACATTTTGGATTGCATAGTTGCTTGTTGCGGACAGCTGTACCGTGAATTGTGAGACATTTAGTAACCTCCCTGGCTGCTGCTCACTAGATGCCAGTAACACTCACATCTCCCTTGTCTCCCAACCTAGCTGTGACAACCAAAAACGTGTCCAGACATTGTCAAGTGATCCCTGGGCAGAAGATAAAAAAGTATCCCTGATTCAGGACCATAAGGACCATGAGACTGGTGGAATAGTTATTGGAAGGGACTGCAGTTTATATCATTTAGTGTTCTGTTGCAGAGGGCAGACTCCTCTCTAGCTGGCTTAATCTGAAATGTACTAATGACACAGGGTTTTGAGTGGTCAGCACAAGTGATCTGTGGGCTGGAGAAACAGAAATCTAGGGTGGAGCTTTCAGGAATGGATCCTGAAATGACACCACGTATGAGCCATCAAGGGAATCTCTCTGGACACTGCATGACCACGGAATGGAGAGCAATGGAGAGTATCCAATCCCACTAAACAAGGGAGCTAACATGCCACCCGCAGCAGCAGAAGGATCCCTCATTCCTCATGCCCTGTGTCTTTCCTTGCTGCGCTCTATTCTGAATGCAAGTTCTTAAAGTGTTTCTGGTGAAGGAGCTTAAATCAACTGCAATTGCAAGAAGTTTGGAAAAAAAATAATTTTTAGTTGACCAGCCTCTATAATAAACTCCATAAAGAGGTTCAAACAAATTTTGAATGAGCCCACTTCTAGTATTTTCTATAGAGTTCTTCAGAAATCCTCAACTTCCACCAATAGACAACCACCTATTCTGGGTGATTGGGGTTGACCCAAAAGTATCCTCTTCACTCTCCATTTACATATTTTATATCTGGTTATTTTTTCTCTTTTTCTATTGCTCCATTCTTTTCCCTGTTTTCTCTTTCATTACCATTCTTTTTGCACCTCCTCTCTCTCCCTGTCCCTAATTACAGGTTTCCTAAGGATTTGAAAAGTACATATTTTCTATTTGACTCTGTCAATGCATACAACATGTAAAAAGTCTTTGTTGATATGTGAGCTGAGCTTAGTAAACTCAACTGCCCCAACTTGTGGGTCTAGTCCCCTGAAGACACTGTGGAAATCAATATTTTGGATCTGAGATTTGTAGCTTTGAACAATATTTTCTCCATTTATAAGAATAGAGCACCAATTAATATGATTAATCATTAACTATCACACTGGTTGGCTTGAAATAAACATTGATCAGTAGCCTTAATTCCAACCAATAAGCCTTAATTCCAAAGTATAATTTTTGTCTCTAGAATAGAGGCC